GCAGCCGGCTCTCGGGCTGCCCGATTTGGAACTCTGGGAAGGAGCAGGAGTCACAGAGACAGTACCCAGGAAGGACGTTCAACCTCTACGGGCCTGCCCAGGTCAGATGGAAAAAGGCCCTTGAAGGAAACAAGATGGAGATGAAAAGGGGAAAAAGGAGAAAGGACGTGGGTGTGTGCTGCTGAGAGCTCTATCCAGAGGGAAACCCAGTTTTAACAGCTTTCCAGCCCGGCAGGAATTGTTATAACAGGATTTCACTTGCTTACCAAAAATGATTTCTCACTTTTTTCAGATTTAAGAAAGTAAACAGCAGAGACATTGACAAGTGTGCTTTGTGTGCATTTTGCTTATGATTATGGTTACAAAGATAATCTTTAAAAATAGAATGGGATTTCTTTTAAAGAATATATTCAGAGATGGTATAAGACAGTAGTTGGGAGCACCAGAGCCAATTTCTGGGCTAGGTTTCCATTTCTCACTCTGTGACCTGAGGCAGGTTATTGATCCTCCTGTGTCTCAGTTTTCTAATCTGTAAGGTGGAAACATTAACAGTGTATGCTGCCCAGCACACAACACTAAGTTGATTCTCATTGTTGTGAGAGTCAAATTAGTTAGCAGACATAGTGAGTGATATCTAAGCGTTGACTTCTATCATTAAATTACTTATCAAATATTAATCCCTCCTGTTAACATAAAACAAGTGTTGGAAGTAGGTGTGGGCAAGAAGATGAATAAAATACAATTCCTTTCCTCAAAGAATAACACAGGGAAGCAGGGCAGACAGAATCAACAAAAACCTACAATGGAGAAACTGAAAAGGAAGCAGGCAAGGGTGAGGGCTGGCTCCAAACTCCAGGACATTCTGTGACTATGAGGTACTTTTCAGACTTGTTCTCAGCATGTCTGACGTGAGAAACATCTGGAGACCCAAGTTGTTTTTATTTTTTATTTTCTTTTTGAGACAGGGTCTTGCTCTGTTGCCCAGGCTAGAGTACAGTGGCACAGTCTTCGGCTCACTGCAACTTCTACCTCTCGGGTTAAAGCAATTATCATGCCTCAGCCTCCCACCTAGCTGGGATTACAGGTGTGTGCCACCACACCCAGCTAAATTTTGTATTTTTAGTAGAGGTGGGGTTTCACCATGTTGGCCAGGTTGGTCTCGATCTCCTGACCTCAAGCGATCCACCCACCTTGGCCTCCCAAAGTGCTGGGATTACAGGCATGAGCCACCATGCCTGGTGACACAGGCTCTTTTAAACTGCAAAGTATTCTATAAATATGAGTTACTGCCAATACACAAAAGCAAGCACTCTAAGGATAGGCCAGTGGGAGAGGCTGCTTAAAAAACGCCAGTCACCAGGTATGAGCTCCTGCTAGGAGGCTGCTACACATTGCAGCAAATTCCTCTAAACTCTGATGAAAGCCTGCTTCTCCCTGCTCAGTCTTCAATGAAGATAAATCTTTGAATGAAAGTCTTTGCAATGGAAAATTCATCTTCCTCTTGTCAATTCTAGAGCCTCACATTTTCCCTAGGCTTTATCTTGGCAGCCTGGAGGGGTTGTATGCTACTGGATAAGGAGAAGGTTCCTAGATCAACATCCAGGATTTTAATTGCTATCTAAAGACCAATGTCTCTGTGTTTAGATGAGTCCAGGCTTCTTTCAGATTCATAGAGCCACAGCCCAGCTGACATCTCCACTTAAGTATCACAAGGGTCTCTCACATGGGTTCTAACATAGAACACTTCTCCTCCATTTATCTGTTTCTCCATGAATGGCACAGCCCACTGCAAAGCCCCAGACTCTCTGCCTCACCCTCCCTCACCTTCCACCTCGCTCCTTCTCAGACCTCCTCCACTTTCCCTCCAAAGTTCTTCCAAAATCCATCTGCTTCTTTCTTTTTCAAATTCCACCTTTCTATTCCTAGCAGCCAACATCTACTTCTTGGACTTCCACAACAGTCTCCAAACTTTCCTCCTTATTCCCACTCTTGTCTCTCTCTAATTTATGTTCAACATTGTTCCAGAACAAAAAGTTTGAATTCCCCTGCTTATGCATGGTTTAACAGTAACCATTATGATGAAAACAATCATGATAAAATAGCTAATATGTATTCAGCACTTAGCCAGGTACTGTGCTAGGCGCTTTATCTGTCTCACCTCATCTAATCCTTACAATGATCCTATGACATAGGCACAATCTTCACCCCATTTTACAGATTAAAAACACCCAGATGCAGGAAGGCGTAAAATCACATGCCCATGGGACAAAGCTAGTAAGTAAATAGTGGAACTGGCCTTCAAGCCTCACTCCCCAACTCCCTCCCCTCTAAGATAAAGATGAAAGGCCTTGAGGGGCCCACCCAGCCCTGCAAGGCTTGCCCTGCATGCTTCCACCTGCTGTCATCGTGATTCTTCTCATTCTCTTAGCTCAGTCATGCCCTCAACTGCACCATCTGCTCCGCTCCTCTCTTCGGGTCTTTGCACATGGGAGTCTCTCCCGGCTCTCCAAGCCCAGGCAGATCCCTTCTGTGCCTCTTCAAGGCAACTATTCCAGCATGTAATTACGTACTTATCTGTGTATGCACCATTGGAGGGGCCATCTCGGCCTTCCTTGGCATTATATCCTAGCACCTAGCACAGCACTTGGTATACATGAAGTGCTCAGCAAATTATTAACAACTAGGAAATTGCAGTACAACTGCAAGCAAAATTCTCAGTTTCTAGTTCACGGGCCATTGTTTATTGCCAGTGTGATTTTGTGCAAATTACCCCCAAATGAACCTCCAGGGGCCTGACTGTAACTTTCTGGTAACAACCCCAGCAATAAGAAAGCATGTCCTTAAAGCACTTTCACAAAAATTCCATTTGATCTCAGAACGACCAGGAAGGCCGCCCTTGACTAAACACTAAACGGCAAGGCCTTCAATCAGAGTTAGGTGGCAACTGACTAATCGAGGGTGTGTTGCAAAAGAAGGAGAGGGTGCAGAACAGGCCTCACCAAACACATTTAACTCATCACCAGCACACAGCGGGACAGCTGGGTTGGCCACAGCCATTCCACTCTGGCCACCACCCTGGCCCCTGCTCTGCCCAAGTGAGCAGGAAGACAAGAACCTGTCCTTCTTTAGTTAACGTTCGTTACTCCCAAATATTTGAGTATGAGGTGCTGCCAATCACAGGAGCGGCTCCTTGAGAGCCCAGACACTTATCTGGGAGGCCAACGGCCTCTCATCAACACCCCTCCTGTACCACTGCCCTCTCCTGTCTCTCAGCTATAGCTAGTCTAGGGTAATTGTGAACACAGAGATGTTTCCGTAGGCACTCCGGCCCTACATCTAATCTCTGCAAAGGATGTCACTCTATGTAGTTATCAATGTAACTTCTGTGGATCAGAAGCTTAAATGCTGGTTCTAAAAAATAATCTAATGTCATGTTATGTTTACGACATTAACGATTTAAAGTAATCCCTTCCATGACATCCCTGCAAGCAGAAATGAGAACAAAATCTCCTCAAATTACAAAATAATTTCATGAACACCAGTTGGATAGCTGTGATTATCTGCCTGCTTCTTCAGGTAAAACTATGCCAGCTGTAAAACTGCTTTTGAAAATAAAAGCAGCCTAAAGATGTGGCTTTCCAGGTGACTTGAATTTTCTAAGACATTATAAAGTTGATTTAAAAACAGAAGTAAACTTTACGTTGAATTTTTAAATGTAAACTCATATCAAAAACCAAACAAAATACAAACCTTCACTGTCACCATTAGAAAGAGATCTCATTTTATTATAGCTATTCATTTTAATGTATAAATAAAATCACAGAAAGTCCTAGATTATGTCTAACAGTCAAATAATTTTCAAGCTATGCTAGCATAGAGCTAAAAAGGGGGCTATCAGCTATGTTTGTTTTATAAATCAAACAAAAAAGGAAGTTCTCTTGTGTAGAGTTTTGCAGAAACAAAGTATAAAGCTGATCAAATCAGCTTATGATTTAAAATGGAAAACAAAAGTTCTTTCCGGAGTAATAAATACTAATTACCTTCAGGACACTGGCATGTGAATCCACTGAGGCTGGAAATGCACGTTGCTCCATTTTTGCACGGGTCTAGGACGCAGTAATCAATCTTGGACTGGCAAAGCTCTCCAGTGTAACCTGAATAAAACAAAATGTGTATTTTATCAAATAAGCTATTTCGAACCCACCCTGAGCCACTCTAGGAACTGATAGACTCAACTGGTACCTGCCCGATGAAGGCAGTGGCAGCCTTCAGCTAGGCTGCTGCTGGATCTCATTTATTTTTACAAACTACGGTAGTTTAAAAATAATCATAACAGTTTAGAATCATTGTTCAAAAATCGTTTACTCTGCATAAATCTGTATTGCAAGAAGACTACATTTCTTCAGCATTACGTCTGTGTTTCATCTTGAAATACGAGTCAGAACCTTCAGAAGCTGAGACTGAGTATCACTGTCCCTGTTGATAGCTTCCTTCTGACTCCGTAATATACAGTGTTTAGCTTGATCTAATTGAGATAATGACCACATTCCCTGGGCCATCACAGTACTTACATAAAAAGCATTAGGAAAATATCTAGGTATTAACAATTTTAATATATAACATCTTAGAACTAGAATAACCCACCTGTGTTAATTCTGCGCCCCCTCCCCACACTTTAAAGATAAAGAGATTGAGGCACACAGAATGCTAAGCACATTAGTATATTTTTATTAAACTTATTTAATTCACAAATCCAACTAAATTCTCTGTGAAGCAAGACTCTCATGGTGATTTTGCTGGATTTTAACATAACTACACACATGTGGTGAGGAAATAAGGCTGTAAATCTATTGAACAACTGTGCAGTCAAAAAGCTATAAATTCCAGAATTTTGATTATTAATTTTGAAAACAAAGCCCCTGGAGAGAAAAGTTTAAAAAATAAAATGATAATATATTTCTCATTTTAAACTGGAAAATTGTATAGAAAGTTTCGAAAAATTTTTTTTTAGTATATAAAATATTTCATCTTTTATTTTTATGAATAATTGTCATTAATACAGCAGAAACTGATATGATTATAAAAGATACCAAAAAATCAGAAAAATGTTAGCATTCAATAGAAATTAAAAACCTGAGCTGGAGGCTCATCAGAGTCTGACACTTGGTACCATTCTGATGGAAGTGAAGAAACATGTTTGCCGGACTCCTTAAAACAATTCATGTAACAGAGAAAGAGTTAAATTTCAAAGGAGCTACAATGCACTGACACATTACATGACTTTTGTTGTTGACAAGCATTTAAGCAGGGCTATCTAATCTCACAGTCTTGAAGGCAGGGAGGTGTGTAAATCGTAGATTTTTAATTAGCAGTAATCAAGCTGAGATTTTTCTTGGTGAAATAGTTTTGTTTACTCTTGTAGATCCAAAAGGCTAGCTCAGTCTGTCAGAGTACAAGAGAATGCCAGAAGAGGTCAAGAGCAAGGGGATGGATCGACATGAATCCATTCCAACTTGTGGAAAACAAATGACACAGCAGTTACCATCACAAAGAATAGTATTAGTAGGAATTGGAGGCTTGAGGTCCAATTCAGTTCTCATTTGGATTCTACAGTATCTCTTACTAAAAATTTTGTTTAAAAAAAAAAATACCAACAGGGAAATTCTTACTCCTTTAATTAACAATTGTCCACAAGGAGAAGGGAAGAAATAAACAATAACTAATATAGATGGGCCTAACTTATTAAAAATCTGTGAGCTTGAATACATTTTAATATGTTGAATCTTGAGTCATACTTATAAACCAATGGTTAATATACTACAAAACCTTACAAACAAAATCTCATCTGTTGCAGAACTTCAAAACTAGTGGAACTAATTTCTTCTCCCTTTTATTTCTTCCACAGAAAGTCCTAAAACTGAGTAATCACTGGCATGCCTGCATTCACAAATATATCCTCAAAACATGATGATTTTTATCAAAATATATCTGCAAAATATGATGGCATTTGAAAACGGAAGTAATTTCAAATGAGGTCAAGGATGTCATACTCCCTCCAAACGTGTTTTCAGTTCTTTCTGCTCCACGTCACATAAAAAAGAAATGAGGGTAGCTAGATTCATGTAATTTCTTTCAGCCCAATAATGTCATTAAATTCCCAATGTTTTCACACTAGCAAAGATCCAGTATTTAAGTGATCTACTATAAAGCATCTCTATTTCTAAAAAAAGATTCCTTTCATTTTTTACTTTTTCTTAAGAGGGCTCAAAAAGCTGTCAAAAAGCCCTTTACTTAACGAAGACCAGCCACAGACTTCCGTTCTGTACCAGCTTTCCGAGAGGATAAGTGAGTCTTCAGCCTGATATTTTTGCCCCTGGTTTTACGAAGCTTCTCTTCTTTATGTACGTTCATGTGCTGCCTCAGATGAGAGCTCTGACTGAAACATTTGCCACATTCACTGCACTGGTAGGGTTTCTCCCCCGCGTGGGTTCTCTGATGTTGAATAAGGTAGGAGCTCTGGCTGAAACACCGGCCACACTCATCACACTGATACGGTTTTTCTCCAGTATGAATTCTCTGGTGCTGAATGAGATTTGAGCTCTGTTTAAAGCTTTCTCCACACTCATCACATTTGTAGGGCTTTTCCCCGGTATGGATCCGTCCATGCTGAATGAGATTAGAACTCTGAAAAAAACTTTTCCCACGATCAGCACATTTATGGGATTTCTTTCCAGTATGGATCTTCTGGTGCTGAAAAAGAGTTGAACTCTGACTGAAACTCTTTTCACATTCATTACACTTGTAGGGTTCGTCATCCAAGCTTCTTCTAAGTCTACTCAAGCTGGAGTCAAATCGAATAGTCACTCCCCACTTCTGCCGCTGCCGGCCTGTTTCGCGCTTGTTCTCATAGGTCTTTCCTTGGCTTGAGCTCCGGGAAATACCCGCTTTAGGCTTTGCTAACCTCATGGTGAATAACAAAATGTGTATGTATGAGAGTTTACAGGCTTCTTCTGAACTAATGTTTCATTTCCCAGAGGTGCACAGCTCAGAATTTTCACACGATCAGCCACCACCCCGGCTCACTCTGTTTCGAAAATTTAAGACATTAAATAGAGAAAAAAATGTACCCTTGGTTATGTTATTTGAGTGACAGGACAATCAACACTGTAGAGATGGTTCCTACCAAACATTTTTAGTCCCAGATATTTCTCACACAATTATGATCATACTGTAACACTTTATTTCTAGGATAGTTTTAACTACATAAAAACTTGTCTTTCTCAATTATCAGTTTTGAAAGACTGCCATTCGTGCTTGAATCTCAGATTTACAAAAAAAAATTTAGTGATATTAGAAAAGAGATGATTCACCTGAGCCTCAATTGCCTGCCAAACAGATTGTAAATTACTCATTGCAAATGTTTGTAAATTACTCACTGGGAATGTGGAAGCATTCATTTGCAATCATACTCACAGGCATTCAAGCAGCTTAGGAGATTCTAGCTAATTCAAGGTATGAGAAAAAGAGTAAGACAAGAGCATGAACTAAAAATCCAAACACTAGGACAAAAGGCTATTTCGAAATTTCAGAACAGGTTAAACAAAAGCTGTAAATTCAAAATATGGGAGAGTGAATTGTTTTTAAGAGAAATGCTGCAAATAATGGTTAGGCTAAAAATAATAACCAAAACTTACAAATGATCACCTATTTTTATTCATACGTTAACATTAATAATTTATCCACACATTAATACAAAATTGAACCATACTCATGTAACCTTATGAGGTTAGGGTTATTAGAATCACCCTATTTTTACATATATATATTTTTTTTTTATTTCACTTTAGGTTCAGGGGTACATGTGCAGAACATGCAGGATTGTTGTGTAGATACATACATGGCAATGTGGTTTGCTGCCTCCATCCACATTACCTACGTCTGGCAGTTCTCCCAATGCTGTGCCTCCCCAACCTCCCTACCCAGTGCTGTCCCTCCCCTAGCTCCCCCAACAGACCCCAGTGTGTGATGCTCCCTTCCCTGTGTTCATATGTTCTCATTGTTGAACACCACCTATGAGTGAGAACATGTGGTGTTTGATTTTCTGTTCTTGTGTCAGATTGCTGAGGATGGTTTCCAGATTCATCCATGTCCCTACAAAGGACACAAACTCATCGTTTTTTATGGCTGCATAGTATTCCATAGTGTATATGTTCCATATATTCCTTGTCCAGTCTATCATCAATGGGCATTTGGGTTGGTTCCAGGTCTTTGTTATTGTAAACAGTGCCACAATGAACATACATGTGCATGTGTCTCTATGACAGAACAATTTATAATCCTTTGGATACATACCCAGTAATGGGATTGCTGAGTCAAATGGAATTTCTGTTTCTAGGTCCTTGAGGAATCACAACACTGTCTTCCACAATGGTTGAACTAATTTACACTCCCACCAACAGTGTAAAAGTGTTCCTATTTCTCCACATCCTCTCCTGTTGTCTCCATATTTTTTAATAATCGCCATTCTAACTGCTGTGAAACAGTATCTCAATGTGGTTTTGACTTGCATTTCACCTGTGGCCAGTGATGATGAGCATTTTTTCATATGTTTGTTGGCCTCATGTATGTCTTCTTTTGAAAAGTGTCTGTTCATATCCTTCACCCACTTTTGAATGGGTTCTTTTTTTTTTTCTTTCTTGTAAATCTGTCTTAGTTCTTGGTAGATTCTGGATATTAGCCCTCTGTCAAATGGGTAGATTGCAAATCTTTTTCCCCTTCTCTTGGTTGCCTGTTCACTCTAATGATTGTTTCTTTTGCTGTGCAGAAGCTCTGGAGTTTAATTAGATACCATTTGTCTATTTTTTTTTTTTTTTTTTTGGTGTTTTAGTCACAAAGTCCTTGCCTATGCCTATGTCCTGAGTGGTTTTACCTAGGTTTTCTTTTAGGGTTTCTATGGTGTTAGGTCTTATGTTTAAGTATTTAATCCATCTGGAGTTAATTTTAGTATAAAGTGTCAGGAAGGGGTCCAGTTTCTGCTTTCTGAACATGTCTAGCCAGTTTTCCCAACACCATTTATTAAACAGAGAATCCTTTCCCCACTGCTTGTTTTTGTCAGGTTTGTCAAAGATCAGGTGGTTGTAGATGTGTGGCACTGCCTCCAAGGCCTCTGTTCTGTTCCATTGGTCTATATTTCTGTTTTGGTACCAGTACCACGCTGTTTTGATTACTGTAGCCTTGTAGTATAGTTTGAAGTCAGGTAGCGTGATGCCTCCAACTTTGTTCTTTTTGCTTAGAATTTTCTTGGCTGTGCAGGCTCTCTTTCGGTTCCATATGAAGTTTGAAGTGGTTTTTTCCAGTTCTGTGAAGAAGGGCATTGGTAGCTTGATGAGGATAGTGTTGAATCTATAAATTACTTTGGGCAGTATGGCCATTTTCATGATGTTGATTCTTTCCAACCATAAGCATGGAATATTTTTTCATCTGTTTGTGTCCTCTCTTATTTCCTTGAGCAGTGGTTTGTAGTTCTCCTTGAAGAAGTCCTTTATATTCTTTGTTAGTTGTATTCCTAGGTATTTTATTCTCTTTGTAGCAATTGTGAATGGCAGTTGGTTCTTGATTTGATTCTCTTTAAGTCTATTATTGGTGTACAAGGAATGCTTGTGATTTCTTAACATTGATTTTGTATCCTGAGACTTTGCTGAAGTTGCTTATCAGATTCAGGAGATTTTGGGCATAGACAATGGGGTCTTCTAAATATACAATCACGTCATCTGCAAATAGAGACAATTTGAGTTCCTCCTTTTGTAACTGAATACCCTTTATTTCTTTTTCTTGCCTGATTGCTCTGGCTTGAACTTCCAATCCTATATAAATAGGAGTAGTGAGAGAGGGCATCCTTGTCTAGTGCCAGATTTCAAAGGGAATGCTTCTAGTTTTTGCCCATTCAGTACGATACTGGCTGTGGGTTTGTCCTAAATAGCTTTTATTATTTTGAGATATGTTCCATCAATACCTAGTTTATTGAGAGTTTTTAACATACAGGGCTGTTGAATTTTGTCCACGGCCTTCTCTGCATCTGTTGAGATAATCATGTCGTTTCTGTCTTTGGCTCTGTTTATGTGGTGAAAATGTTGAACCAGCCTTGCATCCCCGGTATGAAGCCTATGTGATTGTGATGGATGAGCTTTTTTATGTGCTGTTGCAATTGGCTTGTCAGTACTTTACTGAAGATTTTTGCATCTATGTTCATCATGGATATTGGCCCAAAGTTTCCTTTTCTTGTTGAGTCTCTGCCAGGTTTTGGTATCCGGATGATGTTGGTCTCATAAAATGATTTGGGAAGGATTCCCCTTTTTTTTTTATTGTTTGGAATAGTTTCACAAGGAGTGGTACTAGCTCCACTTTGTATGTCTGGTAGAATTCAGCTGTGAATCCATCTGGACCTGGGTTTTTTTGGTTGGTAGACTAATAATTGCTGCCTCAACTTCAGCCCTTGTTATTTGTATATTCAGGGTTTTGGCTTCTTCCTGGTTTAGGCTTGGGAGGGTGCAAGTGTCCAGGAATGTATCCCTTTCTTCCAGATTTACTGATTTATGTGCATAGAGTTGTCTGTAGTAATCTCTGATGGTAGTTTGTATTTCTGTGGAACCTGGCGTGATATCCCCTTTATCATTTTTTATTGCATCTGTTTGATTCTTCTCTCTTTTCTTTTACATTAATCCGGCTAGTGGTCTATTTTGTTGATCTTTCCAAAAAGGCAGCTTCTGGATTTATTAATTTTTTTGAAGGTTTTTTTGTGTCTGTATCTCCTTTAGTCCTGCTCTGATCTTAGCTATTTCTTGTATTCTGCTAGCTTTTGAGTTTTTTTTTTTTTATCTTGCTCATCTAGCTCTTTCAATTTTGATGATAGGGTGCTGATTTTAGATCTTTCCTTGCTCCTCATGTGGGCAATTACTGCTATAAATTTTCCTCTAGACACTGCTTTAAATGTGTCCCAGAGATTCTGGTACATCATGTCTTCATTCTCATTGGTTTTGAAGAACATCTTTATTTCTGCCTTCATTTCATTGTTTAACCAGTCAACATTCAAGAATGAGTTGTTCAGTTTCCACGAAGTTGTGCAGTTTTGAGTTAGTTTCTTAATCCTGAGTTTTAATTTGATTGCACTGTGGTCTAAGAGACTGTTTGTTATGATTTCCATTCTTTTTCGTTTGCTGAGGAGTGATTTACTTCCAATTATGTGGTCAAATTTAGAGTAGATATGATGTAGTGCTGAGAAGAATGTATATTCTGTGGATTTGGGGTGGAGAGTTCTGTAAATGTCAATTCGTTTTGCTTGATCAAGATCTGAGTTCAAGTCCTTAATATCCTTGTAAATTTTCTGTCTCGTTTATCTGTCTAATATTGAAAGTGGAGTGTCTAAGTCTCTTTGTAGGTCATTAAGAACTTGCTTTATGTATCTGGGTGCACCTGTGTTGGGTGCATATATATTTGGGATCATTAGCTCTTCTTGTTGCATTGATCCTTTTACCATTATGTAATGGCCTTCTTTGTCTCTTTTGATGGTTTTTGATTTAAAGTCTATTTTATCAGAGACTAGGATTGCAACTCCTGCTTTTTGTTGTTGTTGTTGTTGTTGTTGTTGTTGTTGTTGTTGCTCTCCATTTGCTTGGTAAATCTTCCTCCATTCCTTTATTTTGAGCCTATGTGTATCCTTGCATGTGAGATGAGTTTCCTGGATACAGCACACCAATGAGTTTTGACTTTTCATCCAATTTGCCAGTCTGTGTCCTTTGATTGGGGCATTTAGCCCATTTACATTTAAGGTTAATATTGTTATGTGTGAATTTGCTGCCATTTTGATGCTAGCTGGTTGTTTTGCCCATTAGTTGATGCAGTTTCTTCATTGTGTCAATGGTCTTTACCATTTGGTATGTTTTGGAGTGGTTAGTACTGGTTGCTCCTTCATATGTTTAGTGCTTCTTTCAGGAGCTCTTGTAAGGCAGGCCTGGTGGTGATGAAGTCTCTGAGCAATTGCTTGTTCATAAAGGATTGTATTTCCCCTTTGCTTATGAAGCT